TCTAACATGCTAAGTATCCGGTCATCTGGTCGTCTGTTCAACCAATCAAAGCGTAATATGCTAATGATATACTAAGGCCGCTCAACCACTTGCTATGACGTGCCCTGACCACTAGGGGGCAGATGCTCTGACTGATAGGTTGACTTGCTGCTGGGGTCCAGCCAATAGGGACTGAGCAAAATGGGTCAGACACACCCTGGAGCCCTCCTGTGGCCTCTCCCCAGCTGGTCAACCTCCCGAATCTCTCCCCAGCCCTGATCATGCACTAGTGGGGTCCCTTGGCCTGGCCTGCACCCTCTTGCAATCCAGGACGCGTCAGGGGATGTCAGAAAGCCGGTTTTGGCCAGATCCTGCAGGCCCCACTGGTGCATGAATTCGTGCACAGAGCCTCTGGTTTTAAAAATAAACAACCTTACCCTAGCCAGTTTGGCTCAGTGGATAGAGCATCAGCCTGAAGACTGAAGGGTCCCAGGTTTGATTCTGGCCCAAGGCATATGCCTGGGTTGCAGGCTCGATCACCAGTTGGGGCCATGCAGGAGGCAGCCGATCAATGACTCTCTGTCATCATTGATGTTTCTATCCCTCTCTCCCTCTCCCTGCCTCTCTGAAATCAATAAAAATATATTTTAAAAAATATAAATATAAAAATAAACTAGCACAGAGATGTTAAGTGACCTGCCCAAAGTCACACAGCTGATAGGCAGACAGGTATAGTCGAAAAAGCTTGCTGAGACTGTCAAGTTTTATTGTACTTACTCTATGCTAGGCAGAACTTACCCAACACCAAGAGATGCCCCCCATCCAAAACATCACTTTTTCTAGCACTTCAGTCATTTTTTTTAATTACAGGGAAAGTATAAGCTCAGATGGATTCTGTGTTTATTGCAAGAGCATTTAGGCTGTGAGGGGGAGAATCGAAGGGTGATTGCCCTTTGGGGCAGGATCAAAACTCAGCTTCATGCCTTTAACCACAGGGCACTATGTTTGGATTAAACATTGACGTTTATCTGGCTGATGTAGACTTATGTGTGGTCATTGGAACCATGTTGCCAATGGACTGGTTTTAGTCCATCTGTAAGGACAAAGAAGTGGGTGCATCTTGGAAGAAAAGGAAACAAGGTGGGAAGGAATCAGCAGTGAATGAGCTCCCGTTTATGTGTCAGAGGCTGTGCACACAGCATCTCACCAAATCCTGAGAGAGCAGAGCATGAATCCCACCTTTACAAAAGGAAGCTGATGTTCATCATTTTCATTTGGTCAAACCCACTTGGCTAACGAGCATCGGGGGCAGGCATGGAACCCAGGCCTGATTATTTGCATCCTATCCCCGCTGCCTTCCTGACACATTACAATGAAGTTCTTCATAATGGGATTTTACCTACCTAACCACTTTTATCTATTTCTCTGATTAGTTTTAATTCATTCTAAACTCACATAACCCTAAACTCTTTTCCATTAAATTCCTACATTCACCTATATTTTCTTAGCTTCTTCTATGTGACAAGCACCACAGTAAGCTCTCTAGAAACAACAGTAAACAAGACAGACACTGTTCTACCCTGATAGAGAGTATACACTAGAATAAACTTTTTTGGTAAGGAATCAGAAAGCTAGTATTTTAGACTTTGCAAGCTGTTATGATCTCTGGTGCAACTGCTCATTTCTGCTATAATAGCATAAAGTAGCTACATAATACATGAATGAATGGGTATGACTGTGTTTCAATACAAGTTTCTTTATAGAAACAGACAGTGGGCCAGATCTGGCTCACAGGAGTTTGCTGACCTCTGCTCTCTAAAGTAACCCAGGAAAGTCATCAAGTAATCAGAACACATTCTTGTAATTACTCTAATTGAAAAAATACAGTGAACTCTGGGTCTATATTGCAGGAACACCTAAGCCAGTTGGAGAGAGATTCAGGATGGCTTCCAGGAGGAATTGGCATTCATAAAATCACCTGAACAATGAGAGGAATTAACCAAATAAAATTTTTCTGGCCCTCTTCCACTTATGTTCTCCTTCAACCACATTTCTAAGGAACAATTCCTTATTTTATAAATATCTGAGTCTTTTTGCTTGTCTCATCCCTTCTTATCAAAATCATTCAAGACCCCTCCCCTTCCTCCCTCAACATGTGCATCCACTTTGTCCCTCAGTCTGTCACATTCTAGATTTTACTCCATACATCAGCAGTCTTTTAAAAATTTGAACAAAAATAAAAGTTGAACTTAGATAAACTTTATAGTATGTAAATCAGACCTTACAAGCCTATTGAAAATAAATAAATAAGGCCAGGAGTCCTTACAGGATGACTAAACTTTTT